CCCCAAAACCCCAAAACCCCAAAACCCCAAAACCCCTAGTATCTGAATACATACAGAAATTAATGCATTGTTAATGTCTTCTTGTAGTCAATCTTCTATGAATCTTGCTGTAATCAATAGTGTTGTACATCCCAGCTCCAGGGGATTGCTGACTTTTCTTCTCAGCTTTATCCGTGAAGAACTTTCTCTTGCCCTTACTCTGCTTCCAAGATGGGGAAACTTTATTGACTTGTTTGTCGATTGCAGCTTCTTTGAGGCTGTACGATTGTGGATCAGGCCCATCGACTTTCTGGACTCTCCATCCTTTCTTTTTCACATTGTGCTTGAAAGGGGCAGGAAGCTTGATCTTTTCAGTATAAGTTCCAGCAGGACTCTGTGTTGCTAGCCATTCAGCATTCGAGGTGAAGGGAACTCTCTCTCCTTTGTCAATTACACCTAAGGAGTTTCTCTTATGTGTGAAATTAATGGAGGGTTTGTAGGCCCCAGGACCTGGTTTAGGCTTAATTTTCTCTTCTCTGCAGATTTGTTCGATGTAAGTGTTCTTCTTTCCCCCTTTCATGTTTCCTAATATAGAACTTTTCCAGTTGTTGGGTTGGTCGTAAGCAGCAGGACTTGGGGTGTAGGCATGCAGCTTATTTGAAGCTATCCACAAGCCCTGTGGCGCACTTGGCATGCATTGTTGGAATTTTATTTGGGAACAAATGCGCTCCTTTAGGAACTGTATACTCTGTGATTCCGAATGGAGAGCCATGCTTAGTCTGCACATTGATCATGTCTTTGACAGATAGAAGTTCAGGTTGAGACCTGCTCTGTTTTAAATTTCTAAAAGTTGTGCCCTTATTTTTCCTCAGTGTCATTGTCACATTTTTTCCGGTCATCGAAAGCTTGCTGAGGGATGACTGAGAAGCCATTGAGGAGAGACTTGGATTTTTGTTCATCCTAATTTTTTATTTTCAATATAATAAATATATAAGGGGTTTTGGGGTTTTGGGGTTTTGGGGTTTTGGGG